AATAAAAGCAGCGCAGCTTTCATCAGCTTCTACATGCAATACAATGTATTCTGTCTGCCATCTGCATTTCATAAATGATGGGAAGCAAGAGTTAAAGGAGAAGATTCAAGAAGAGTCTACAAATATTTTCTAGGCTTGAAATAAAGTATAATGGTGCATAGTATTAATGAGCAGATGGATTGGTCTTCATAGAGATTGGACTGGGATGGGCCCAAGTCACTGAGAATTTCTAACTACATTAATGGAGCTCCAATAAACAGATGCCTTTTTCTGTCTGCAATTTTCACCCTGCGCTCCTCCCTGATCTATTCTATGGTATTACACTGGCCTGTCAGAGCCCCTGTAATATCATGCAAATACTGACATTCTGAAAGTCTGTATTTGCATTTGTCCCCCACCTGCAAACTGGCAGTGCTTCGTCCAGTGTCATTAAACTTAAGACTGAGGACATAATGTGAGTGCAGGGCATCATGGACCCTTCCTCAAATGGGGTGTCAGCAAGGGGCTCTGCACACAGGTCAGCACTGTGATGGTAGTGGCCGGTCCGAACCCACTGTAGGTGGCATGTGACTATACGCAGTTCCGATCCAGCCGAACCATCACAAGGGCGTAACAATACCAATCCCAGCCTCACCCTGCACAGAGAGTTTACAGCCCGCAGGACAACAATTTAAGGCCAGCAGACTGAGAGCGATTGTCACAGGGGTTGGTTAACTCCACAGTTGATGTTACTGTCCCTTCAGACAGGAATATGGCAGGGTTACTATACAGTAGTACTCTTCACAGAGACAAGGATACTTTAATTCCTTATTCAAAGCTTAATGATTTTTAAAGATTGTTTTTAATAAAAGAAAAATATACAGAAAAAGATGTTACAAAAGAGAGACAAATATATAACACCAGTAAAAATAAATAGGGAATACAATGGAAAGTACTTAACAAGTCCAGGCTTTTGTGAGCTCTAGCAGAGTCCAGATAATGAGACAGAAGAAAGATCTGCATAGGTCTCTTCCTCGAGTAAGGCTTCCAAAGGTTCCTTTTTGATGTTAAAGGGGAGCTCTTCTTTGATGGTTTAAAAGCCTTTTCGATGTAATCACAAGAGCTTCTCTTTTGATGTTAAACGAGAGCTTCTGGCTGCCTTGCCCAGCTGCTTTTTGTGAGTCCACTAGGGGGTGTCGTTGAGCCGGCCCCTAGACCAATCAAACTCAGCGAAGTGAGCCAGAGGGCTGCGGCGTTTATGATCTGCTCTCCAGACCCTCCCAAACTCCCAACTTTATATTAATACCCCTATGTCCATATTTTCATATTTTACTATCAGATAAACCACAGATCAGTGTGTATTATGAAATTAGCATGCCATAGACACCAAACTGGGCATCCTTGGAAAGTATGGCTGGCTCAAGAGGGTTAATATGTGTTTTTAGGCCTCTGACCCTCCTAAACCACTCATTTTAATATGTACAGATTTCATTTGAAGAGACATAGCTATAGATGCATATTCATTAATAAGGTAGTACCCGCTGGCCTGGAGTTATGCATATAAAGTGATATTGGGACTCATGTTTTATGGCTGAAGTTAAACTAAAGGTCAGTTATTTCGTTATCAAGCCGATCTAGGCGATCTTTATGAGATGAGCTGAATTGGTCAAGTGTGCGGTTTGTTGACTTTTCATTAAAGTTTTATGACAGGTAACAATAAACAAGTAGGCCTGGGCCAATTCACGCCAGCCACAAAACTCTGTCGTCCAGTTAATTGGGTGAATTGAAGCTTTGCAGACTCTCTTGAAAATAACACCTATGTTATGGGTGATCTGATTCACTTATATCTAGAATTGATGAATTTCAATATGCTGAATGAGAAGATAGAATGTTCTAATTATTATTGAGATGCCCAGACCTCCCTTTCGTCACAAGCATCACTAAGAACTGCCTACTGCTGGGGAAGAGGACCTCATGGGGTCTGTTTATAAACAATCCACAGGGCCCTTTGCCCTATAAATATCTGTGAATATTCATTTTATGCAAAAAATGGCAAAAACAAAAGTTTTTCATGTATTTATATTATATTAATATAATACATATTGTTATTAAATATAATATAACATATAATATAATACAACATACAATGCTGTTTTATCACCTCTCTCTGGGCAGGTGAATAACACCTCCTAGACTCCAATTATGCAAATGTGAGCAACACCTGGTTGCGATTAACATATTATGTGGATTGGAGCAACATTTACCATATTTATTCCCAGATAATTTTTGTACAAGTCATTCTGAATGGAGAAAGCTGGTTGGATGACCAGTGAAACGTCTTCAAGAAAAATACAGCAAATCCAGTTGCCTTGACTTATTTTTTACAGATCTAATATATGATATTTAATGTAATTCTGCATTATGGCCACTAGATTTATTTCCTATGCTCCTCAGCTCCATCTAATGACCATAATGCAGTATTACATCACAATATATTAG